CTGCCCGCCTCATCTCCCCAGCTCTGCCCTGTGATGTTGCCACTGTTTAGCTGCCCAAATTCAGACTCAGACGCCTGTCACACACCCAGCAAACAGGAGCCTCTGTGTGAGTCAGGTCCCTGCTCTGATCTGGGCTCCTAGACCCTGCAGGGTCCTGCTTGAAGGAGTTCTGTATTCTTCGAAGGTGCTGGACAAGCTCAGGGCAGCAGTAAGGGCGGCCCTGGTGGTCCCCATGTTTGGTTCAAGGCTGTCTTACACAAGGCTTTGCCACATAAGTGCTCAATTGACACTATCTGTTTGAGAAGTGCCAGGAGTAAACTTCTCCTGGAGGCGTGTCTGCATCCTGGGTTCCAGTCCCAGGCAGCTTCACGGGCTGTGACACTAGAGGGAGGCTTCTGGCGCTGGACAGTACTCGCCAAAGCCCAGTGAAGGGGGAATGGGCGAGTACTCGTTGACTACTCCTGGCCTTGGAGTGTGTGTGTGCAGGGGCAGGTAACCACACCTGTGTCCTGGTGGCTACGAGGTCCGGGGCAGGGGGCAGCAGGGGGTACTGGGCTTGACACCTGCTCTGCCCCATCTGAAGGTGCCCTGGAGGGGCCTCGTCTCCCTCTGGTGTGCTGTCCCCTCTCTGGAAGGTGTAACACGGGGTGCTGAAGCCCCTGCCTCCTCAGCCTCCCCCCTTCCCAGGAGGCGCTAGAGGAGCACAGGAGACAACACGTAAGGCCACCCCTCCCCAGACCACAGGGACCCCACAGGCAGTCCTGGGCTGGGTCCCCGGAGGCATCAGGTACCCACAGTCCAGCACCTCTATGTGGTCAGTGTGGGAGACAGGGCTTGCCCCTGCTAGGGGTCATATCCTCCCATGGGACCAGCCCCCAGGGGACTAGGGCCCAGAACTGCTGAATGACATGGGGCAGCAGGCATAGCTGACAGGGCTTCATATTCCTTGGCCACTTCTGGGGCTCCCTGCAAGATCCAGAGATGAGAGAGATTGACTTCTCCAGATTCTGAGCCCCCCAGGGGATTAAAAAAGACATATCAAAGTGAGATATTATAAAATTGAGGCATCTTTTAAATGCTTTTATCAGACAGTCCCCAACTTACAATGCTCCACATAAGAGTCTTCAACTTTGCACTGTGTGTCACAGTGTCCCCAGGTCTCCAGTCTGCGTCTCCTCCTCAAGCATGATGGTCAGTAAGTCACCCAAGCTATTCAGCACTTGATTATCAAATAGAATTTGTTTTGGATGATTTAGCCCAACAGCAGGCTCATATAAATACTCAGAGCACATTTGTGGTAGGCGAGGCTAATTGTGAGGCGTGGTGGTGGGTCAGGTGTATTTGAAGAATTCACACGTGGGGCATTTTCAACTTATAAAAACTTCCAGGCATATCGGAACAGAACCGCATTGTAACTTGAGGAACCTCTGCATACTCCAACAAATAGGTGCTTTTGCTGGGTATAAAGGACAACTGCTGTGCGTCCTGGCTCTGGGAGTGGCCAGGGTCAGAATCCTGCCACAGGCCTGGTAGGGCCTCCCTGGCACCTTTCCCATGGGGCCCCTGGCCTGTGTGAGCTGCAGCCACAGCTGTGCACGTATTCATGGGGACTCTGGGTGTGGTCCCACAAGTGCCTGAGTCTGTGGCCTTGGCCTAGGCTGTAGTCACAGCAGGTGCTTGCAAAGACCAGCCAGGTCTTGCAGTGGGACAGCCCTGAGCCTCTGGGTGATGTGAGACTTGGCTTCCTGTCTCCCTACTCCTCTGAGTCCCATTTTTCTGCCCTCCCTTGGGGAGTTTTTGTGAGAACCAGGGTAAAATCTACACAGTGTCTCTACGTGGCAGGCCCTTGGTGAAGAGTGCCTCGTGAAGGACGTCAGTGACACTGAACTTATGTCTAGGTCCATGGGAAGCCGCCTGCGTCCTGAGCCCCCTGGAGGTAGAGACGTGGATTGATGGATCCTGAGCCATGTAGTGGCACCTGCACTGTGGCAGGTGTATGTCAGGTGATAGGTGTCCCGAGCAAGCTTCCGTGTCTCAGCCACAGCCTGCATCTGCCTATGGGACCCAGTGAGCCCGTGTCTCCATGTGGCAAGACGGATTTGCTCTGCTCAGGAGGATGCTGATTGTTCTCACATCAGACCCGGGGATGGTCTCACTGGGTTCTTTCCTGAGTTCAGATCCTGGCAGATGCAGGTGCTTTGGCAGGGAGGTCTGGGTGGCTACTGTCATGGTGGAGAACTTTTTTAAAGAGAAAATATGACAGCAGAGAGGTCCTGCTCCCTTCTCTGTGTTGCCTGTGGTCTGCTGATGATCCTGTCCCAGTGCTGCAGAGAAAGGCCCTGGGCTGAACACTTGTAAACAAATGCAAGTGTGCAGGGAGGGAGGTGCTGCCTGTCACTGGTTGGCAGGCGTCACATGACAGTGGTCCCTAGTCCCTACTCTCTGGGGCCAGTGGGTGGGGAAGTGCAGCTGTCTCTACTGCCTGTTGTCCTCTGGCCAGAGGTGATGCCCTCTTTGGCCAGAGGTGCCCTCCCCAGGTGTCTGTGTGTCCCTCACCTCCCCCAAGGGAAGCTGAGTTGGGTCCAGCCGACGGCCTCCCCAGAGGCCTGCCCTCCATTTCCGCAGGGTGTTGTGTTCACTCCGAGGCTGGCTGGGCTTGGTGGGCCACACTCCAGGGTCCTGCTGCCCAGGACTCAGGGGTTTCCTCCCGAGCACGGGCACTTTGAAGGAGGCCACGCTGCAGCTCAGCCCTTCCTAGCTGGAAGCTAATTTATTGCCTCCCCCCACACCCCAATCATTAGTGGGAATATACATTTCAAACGCAGTGTAAGGGATATGTGGGGGGGAGCAGTACCTCAGGGAGCAGAGGAGAGGTGGGGTCATACCCTGTCTGACCTGGAAGCTTCTGTCTGATTTGCATTGCCCCCAAATTGATGGGGACAACGAGGTAATCACCGGGAGCCACTCCCTGCTGAAAGCTGAGCCTGCCCCACTGGATGTCACGGCGTGGGCGCCATCCCTGGGCGTCTGGTTCCCATCAGCGTCCCAGGCCCTGGAGGCTGCCGGGATACCCTCACATTTAACCTTCCTGGCGTGGGGCCAGCCACGGGGGCAGCCGGGCCAGGGGATAATGAACCTGTGTGCAGAGGAGAGGCTGCCCGCCAGCCTGTAGGGGCTGGGAGGGACTTTGCAAAAGGCCTAAATGATCTGTTTACAGTGACCTGAGAAACACCAGATTTTTCAGAACCAGACCCTATTAGTCAACCCAGAGTGGGCACAGTCGGCCTCTCCTGCCCAGGAAGGGGAGGTGGGCYGAGCCCCACCCGTCCAGCCCCCTCGCCTGCTGCTCTCAACCACTCTCAAGTCACAATTACCTTGGGAGGCTGTGGCAGTTGAGTTGATTAGCACGGTGAATTAAAAGAAGGAGTCACAAATGACATGTCCAGTGCTTCCATACTAGTCCTTAGTATTCCCAGTGGGCCTCACCCCTGTTGTAAGAAGGTCAAAAATTAGAGAGAGAGAACAGTTTTCAAGCGGCTAGCACTTAGGAGCAGAATTAACAATCACTGTGTATGTAATTGCCAGTTAATAGTGAATCGCCTTCTAGACTGTAAAATGCAATATAAACGGGTGGGCACTGAAAATTAAATTAATGAGATATTTGCTGCATTTAAAAGCGAATAGTGCAAATTAATAACTGGGTGCAATGCTCGTTTTAATATTTGTCTAAGAGTGTACCATTTGCTTATTTAATAATAATTAAGATAGTACTGGAATCTCCTACCTGGGAAACCCATGTAGAGGCAGTTGAGCCGGTTGGCATTTGTCACGTCACCAGTAGAAACACATGGAGTTGTTAAGAGTAATAAAAGAAATTATTTTTAAATTAGAATAGAAGCATTACAGTGTTGCTTGATTAAGACAGATTGGAGTTTGCATGCTTCTAATTGAAATTATGTTATCACAAAAACTAGTTTTACAGGCATGTCCTAAAGTGTGAGGCGCTACAGCAAAAATGTGTGTTGCTGTTTTCTTAAAATGTCCAGAGTGGTCATTGGCAGAGTGGTCTCCCATTAAATCAAGAATGGAGGCCACTGGTGGAGGCTTGACATCAGCATTGTTCCCAGGACACCAGGAATGGGCTTGGGGGACTTCAACTGTTGACCTCTTACCCTGACGTTTGATTGACCCACCCTCATTTTAGAGATTTCTTTTGCTTAATTTAAGAAATTATCACAAATTACTGGGAGTCAAGGTGTCTCCAGTGACAGACTGAGCCAGTTCCTGGATGAGATGTTGGCAGGCAGCAGCGAATGTCCCGCAATGGACACAGGGAGCTCTTGACTCCAATACCTGGACCAGCCCCAGGTCTGTGATGCGCTGACTAGTTGGGAACATAAAAATGATTATTTTCYGCACAAAGACATGCATTCAATTTCAGGCTTATGAAATCATTCCTCAGCCAGCAACTGCTGACAGTTTGTGTTCTCTCTGATGTAGTATTTATGTTTCTCTTAAAAAAAAAAAAAGACCATGTCCAAGAACTGGCTGCATGTCGAGGGCCATGGTTCCTCCTGAGGGCTGTCCTGCAGCCGTGGCCACAGTTCCCACCGAGGCTGCTGGCAGGGCTCCGTGTTCATCCCCT